TTTCCTGTATCCGCCAAGGAAGGCGGCGGCCTGAGCAGAGACGCACCATGGCTCAATGATCGGCGGAGAAGAGAGGTCGGAGGGTGGCGGTGCTGCCAGGTGAGCAGCGAGTATGGCCAAACGGCCCTTCACCTTAACGCCGACCTCAGTGTTCGACATTCCATCTTTAATAAAACGTTTCCATATCACATGTTATGCCATGCCTTGTTAACTGTGTTGTTCTGTTATGGGATTGTGTATGTTCAAATTGTCAATTTTTAATAATAATAATTGATAATGATTGATCTATCTAGTACAGAAATAGCAAAACGAGTCCCTTGTTATAGCAAAATGAAATTAAAAAAAAAAAAAGATGTATCAAATAATTTGGCAGGTATACATGTTAGGTATTGCAATGGTAATTACAAAGAATTTTATTGCAAAAAATTTGTCATGTTACCTCTTAAGCTCCTTTTGCTATGGATATGAATTTTTTTAATTTAACATTTTATTATTTGAAAAGTCACATTAAATTCTAGTAAATTTAAAATCAAGTTAAATTAAACTATATATAAAAAAAAAAAACCTCTTCTAATATTTATCTTTCTATTTATAAAATTCAAATACAAAATCTTATTTTTTAAAAAATATCAAAATTCTTTCTATTCAAAATTAACACTGCACGACTTTGTTCTGTTTTCATTTAAAGACTAAGCGCACTGCAAGCTTGAAAACAATGGGCCTGAAATAAATTTGTTCTGTTTAAAAGTAGGCTTGGTTAATTGGGCCTAGGAATAATAATAAGAATTGTTTAAATGGACTTTAAATCATGGTCTTAGTCCGTCGGCTATTTAGTGTTGTTCCGGTCTTTGTTCTCTTGCTGTGGATTCTAGTTTTCATTAATTTTTATTTCAACTTTACCATTGATTTCTTGTTATATTGAAAAATGAATATACTAAAATACATTTAAAAGGGAAACCCATACTTTCCAAATACCAAACGGACCCTACGGCGGTCTTTCCTTTCCTTTTCTGTAAATCAACTCACCTCATCTCCTCTTTCAATTTTCATCTTCAACTTCTAGTTCCCACTTTCCTTTAATTTCGGAAAATCCAACTGGAATCAATGGTCCAAGAGGCCAAGAGAAATGAAATGCATTTCCTCAACTTTTTCGACAGTTTTGTTCCCATAGAAACCATGCTTCACAATATAATTAAATTGAGGGGAACAGAGAGAAAAAATTTTCTCTATTTAATTATCAAAAAAATTCGAAGGAACAGGGGGGAGAAAAAAAAAAACATTTTGCTTTCATTAGTATGTATCTTTTTATTCTCCTCCCCTCTCTTTTAGTTCCCTCAAAACTGTCAGACCAAACATGCTGTAGAAGTTTGAGGTAATTAATAGATATAAATGAAATCCGCGTGACACTCGATTGCTTGGAGCATCGTAAGCTTTATTAGAAACGGGGACAAGATTTTTATCCCCCACCATCAAACCAGCAGCGATATAAACCTTAAGCAACAATAATGCATACCGGACATAGAAACACGCCAAATTTGTTGTTCGGATAAATAGGAACAAATGTTATAGACACAAACATAAAAGGGGTCATACATTTTAAAAGACACCATCGGGTTCCTTTCTAATTGACATCAAAGGAAAATTTTAACTATGGTCGAAATGCATGGACTTCCTAACTGACGAAAATTAGTAGAAAGAATGTACCTCCAAGGGATTCCTTCAAAGGAAAAAACTATTAGTCAAAGCAGCATTGTCAACAAGCACTATGTCTCTAGCTCAAGCAACTTACTGTTTAGCAGTTGAGCTTTTGTATCCCCCAAACCATAGAAGATCATTCAAGACAAATATGTAAGTTATTGGAACAACCGAAGAAATTTGTTTGCATATGCCATTGGCTTGACATCAGGATGAGGCTGTCATTCACAAACAAAAAGGTATTGTTACAGACTGATTGATGTGCAATTTGAAAGTCTAAAAAGGGATATCACGGGACAAAGGTACTTTCCACCGCGGAGAAGGTAACAATGTTTGGCTTCAAATCAGGAGCTTCATAACGAATGAAAGCACCCTTGTTGCTCATCTGCAGAAACAGATTGCAGAACCATGTTAACAAGTATGTATAGAATCATAGTAACAAATGTAGTAACTAGCGAAGTAATGAATAACCAACAATTTTTGTTATCTTTGCCTTTCTTCCTCCCTAAAATTAAAACGTCAAAACTTGTCTAATTCATTACTGTTATAAAACGAAAGTTTTGAAATTCTATTCTGTTTAACATACATATGTGATTGGTTAATGTGGTAAGCCAATAGTTTTCGTTAATAACCCAGAAAAAAAAATAAAAGTGAACAATTCTTTTACAACCATACTAGTCCTACAATAAACACATGAATCTAAACAAAAACCTAATGAGGTTATTCATGTATCTTGCCCCCTTTCTTCTTATACTCAAGTTTCATTGTTCTTTGCTATCTTGGTTATAAACTAATAAAACATAGATGCAGGTATCCCTTGGCCCCTCAATAGAGAAATTACAAGAAAATTTCAAAA